TATTTCTCTTAGTGTGCGGTGGCGGGCGGCCGAATGTGAGGTGAGCGTTGAAGGCGTGCACTTTGCGCTGCGTCAGCAAGTGTCCTTTTTGGCGCTGCCTCCGTTCTGAGGGCGTGCTACTTGCCATAAGTAATTGACAAAATCTTAATTAGTGCTTGGCATGTCCATTGAATGGCTTCCCGTTAGTTGTCGAGTTTAATTAGCTATCGCCGCTGTCACTGCTGTCGATGCCGCTGCTGCAGCAGCTGCTGTTTCAATTTAATCAAATTAAAAATGCCCAAAAGCGTATGCGTCCTTTGTCCTTCTGTCTGTTGAAAAAGTTAATTGTGCATATTCAAGGACAAGCACTTGGATTAAATCAATTTTTGATTAACTAAGATACAGGCCAATTAAGTTAGCTCTGTGTGGGTGTAAATCGATGAGTGTCAGTGTCGATTTAATCAATTGTACTCAGTGTAACCGGGGACTATGTATGAGTGCGTGTGCGCGTGTGTGTGCGTGCTTGCATAGAAAATAAACTGCTTGCTCTGAAATTTTCCACTTGCACTTGCCAACTGCCACTTGAGGCTATAAACTGTGAAGAGCTCTTTCGGCTGCAGCTGCTACGACTGAGGCAGCTGCCCCATTGAGTGTCCTTGAAAGTGACTATAGCTGGCTGCATTGTATATGTGTGTGTGTGTGCTCGTGTGCGTGTGCGCGTATGTGTGCATAGCGTTTATCTACTCAGCCAGTTGCCTACTTGCCAGCAGCTAGAAAAACTGTGAATAATTCAACTCAACCCGAGATGTAGAAATTTATTGGACCAGCTTGAGTTCTATGCAATACGCAGAGCTTTTAATTTGTGGCACTTGATAAGCCTAAAACTACAGCTTTTAATTGTTAAAACAAGTCGGTGCGGTTGTCTTTGAGTTGGTATTAAGTCGAGCCGGTCTCAAAACGGATTACCAATTTTCTGCACGGTTGTGCATGGGAAGTTACAAAATTTTTGCACAATCATTTTAATTGTTCTTTAGAAAATTTAAAAAAAATGTGAGAACCAAAACCGGGTTTCATTAAATTCATACATATCATATAGCTTCCATATAAGAACATACCTTTCGACTTTCGTAATATGAAATGGTCCGATCCGGCCGGTTCCGGAATATGTACCTATGCAAACTGAGAGACTAGTTTGTATAGAAACAGAATAACGGCTGCTGATGCTGATCTAGAATACATATAGTTTTGGTATCGGTGACGTTTCCTTCTATGCGTTACACATGTCATGACAAAATTGTAATACCCTCTGCAAGAGTATTAAAAGTTTTTCAGGCATGATATAGTGGCACAACATCAATCTATGTTAAGTTTCAATAAATGAGCCGCAAATCAGTGAGAATGTTTGGCGAGCAACATACAATTTTGGCTACATCAACCACTCTGTTCCTTCTGATCAGACCACACTTTGTGGTCGCTGTGATGTCGCCTTCGATGCTTTCATGGTTTTTAATAGAAATATTAAATGCCTTCTGCTGGGTTTTACTGAGTTCTGCTCTACCATTTCGTGGTAAACCTTTCCGGCCTTTAAATTCGCTGTTGTCAAAGTGTCAAAGTAAGCTCGCTCGGAGCAAAGGGCTTAAATTAAATTAATTGACGAACACTTGTAAAGTAAATTAAAATTGCCCGACTCAGTTGCTGACTGACTGACTGAATGGCTTGCTGCTGACTGTAGTGCTGCTGTTGCTGCTTCTTCTTCATTTGGCTGTTGGCGTCGTTAAAGAGATTACAAAGGGTCAAAGGGTTAGCTGCGATTGCTCATAATTGCCTGACGCCTGCGGCCAGCCCGAATTTTCTTTTTTTCATTGAGGTTTTTTTTTCTTGTGTGTATGTGCTATACAAACACCATACACACACACACACACACACACACGCACCACACAGCTGACATTTGCTTGTCAAACTAATTAAATTTTTGGCTGGCCAGCAGCAAGAGCCAAATTGGCGCCTGGAATTGGTAATTACCAGGGCTGAAGTGCAACTCAAACACGTAAAAGAAAACGAGTCAGAAACGAGAAACCGACTCCAAAACGGACCGTGGTCCGCAGTTGATGCTGCATCAGCTCCTGCTGCTGCTACTGCTGCCGCTGCCGCTGCAATTAGCCAAACAGTCGCACTGACAATCAAGCAAAAGGCAAACGGCGCCAAGCGACTGACAACGCGTGCATGTCCTTTGTGTCCTTAGCTATAGAGTGTGGGTGTTGCGGGTGCTGCTGCCTAATTACTTGTAAGTTGGCGAATTTGTGGCAAGGCGTTTGTCCTCCAGCAACCAAATTCAATTTGGCCCCACACTGCGGTCAGTTGGGCAACAGTTGCAGCCATATCCATATCCCACGCCCAATGCCTAACGCCCAACGCCCAGCGCCCACCTTCCACGCCCATTTTCATGTCTGCCGGATGCTGACATCGCGCACATGCACATCCGTATCCGGTTTCCTGTAGCGACAACGATAACGACGCCTTCTTGATTGCCAGCGCGTAATTATTTTTTAAGCACTTTGTCTCCCTGCAAAATTAGACTTAACTAAGCCAATTTTTTGGCGTTCCATTTTTTTTTATCCGTTGTTCGGTATACCCTATATCCATAGAAATGTTGAGAAAGTGTATTATTAAGTTGTGAAAATGTGTGTTATATATGTACAATTGAATGGATGGTAGTTATTATGAAGCATACTTTTCTCAATTGAAGCAAGGTTGAAATTATCTCAGCACAGGTTGTTACTGGCTTGTTCCTAGGATATCCCATGTCTAAGTCTGATTAAACATGTTTTAAATTGGGTGGCTTGACTTCAGATGTGGCTGCTTATTTAATTGTAGGGTATATACTGGTTAAGCAATTTCGACTATGCATTTTGAGCTGCCTTTTTTTGTGGGCTTGTGTGGATTGTGGCAAAATTTGACTAGCGGACCACGAATGCCCTGGGTCACACACACACACACACATCCTACTTGTTGGTGTTGTCGGCTCTCTTGGTTTCCATTTTTTGTGCTTCCCTTTTTTTTGTGGTTTTGTTTGGCTGCTTTGTCCAATTAGTAACAGTTTGGGTTACGATTTCATTTCTTTTATTGTGCCTCGTTATCCTTTTTATTTTGCCAGCGCTCGCCGCCGCCTGCTGCCAGTGCGCAAATTTGATATCCTTGTTATAGCAAATTGTTGTATGTACTCGTACAATTATTTTCGCTGCCGTCTCGTGTCGCTGGGGTATTGCGTGTGCCGTAACCCGCTCCCGCTGTCTTTCTCTATCTCAGATCTGTGTCTCTCTCTCTCTTTGTTTCTCTCTCTCGCGCTCTTTGTCTCTGTGGCAATCGAATTGTATTTATGTTTATTTATGCTGTTTGGAAAAAAACGTCGCTGCACTCAACGCTGCTGGCTCCTAGCGTCCTTGTTCATTGTCCTGGCGTTCAATATTGTCGCCCCTTCGATTATTTATGATGCTCGCTTGAAGCTCGCGCCGCACTCCCAGCGGGCCTGTGGCCAAGTTTTAGTAGTCATCGTTTGCCCAGTAATAAATTTATGCTTTTTTATTTCCTCCTGTCATAATTTTACCCTCAAATAAACACACACACTTGCACACACATGCGCTTATATAAAGTGCTTGGGCATTTTTCTTCGCCTCGTGCAGCATTTTCTTTGTGGCTCCTCCTAAGCACCGAACGCTGTCTAAAAATTTTTCCAATTGATAAATTATTTTATGGCAAATACACAAATTTTCTCATACGCATGTGCTGTGTGTGTGTGTGTGTGTGCGTGTATGCGGTTTCTCTTGTTGTTGTGGTTTGGTTTCGATTTTCCCTTTGGGTTGCCTCCCATATTTTAAGGCTCTTTGCTCTTCGCTTATTTTCCTTGCACATAAAAAAACTCTGCATGGGCTTATGTGAATATGTGTACATAAGTAATATCCCTGTGTATTCTTGCATATTTCCGTCCATATCCTTTGGGCCGGTCCTTGTCATTGGCACGGACTGCTCAGCCGCTCAGCACACACTCGACTCCTGCTGCACAGCTCAAACACATAAAATCAATCATATTTGCTGGATATTTTGTTGTTTTTTTTTTCTAATTTTTTCTTCTGCTGTTTTTTCTCTGCCTCTCATTTTTTTCGCCCCTAACTTGTCTTTATCGTTGTGTTTTTTGTTGTTGTTTACTTACGTCCCAATTTGTTGCTTCGTTTGTCTTTTCTTTGAGTTTTAGTTTCCTTTTTTTTTTTGTGTTGGCGCCTTAAGCTTAACTTCAAACGACAGCTTTAACAATTTGCTCGAGATTAATGTGACCATATAGCATATAGGGTATCTGGCAGTCGTTGCTGTGCCGCTGCTTGTGCAAGATCTAACAAATTCGAATCAATTTGTAAAGCATTTAAGTTCGTTGCTGTGCGTAGACCTTTAAAAATATGCAACATTAATTTTAATAGAATTGTTTATGGATGGAGGGGGGCTAGCATATGAAAAGTGGGTGTGGCTGGGCGCCTGCTGGCTAGCAAATGATGCGCAGTTAGTTTATTTTTTTGTGTGTGTCATGCATGCAGAACTGCCATGTCATATTAAATGTAGAGGCAGTCAGCAAAAAAACATAGAGAATGGAAAAAAAACAAGAAAATTCAGAGCAAATCCAAGCGAAAAGCCGCGCCAAATCAAAGCCAACAATATTTTTCAGGATTATTTCAGTTCGCTTGCCGTTGACTGCACAAACAGAAAGAGATAGTTAGAGCGTAAGAGAAAAAGAGAGAGAGAGAGAGAGAGAGTGAGCGAGAGGGGGGAGAGTGGGGAGAGAGAGACAGGCTGGGTCTATGCTTTGGTGACACACCAAAAATGTTGTGTTCCCAAACATTTTCTGTTAATTTGGCAGCGTGTGCTGTGTTTTTTTTGGCCCGGCATCGTTTAGATTTTTTTACGCTTTACTTGAGTTTTATTCGTGATACAAAAAAGTATCAAAATGAAAAAACAAAAAAAAATATAGAAAATAGTATAAACTGCAGCGACCCTCACCAAACGCCGCTGCAGATATGCAAAAACGCAGCGCGCACATAAATTTTAGGGTTTGCTCTACGCTTATTTGCATAGGAATTATGTATTTGGGCACAACGGCTTAGCAGCATTACACAACACACAAACTCACATACAAATACACACTCACACACACACACACACACACACACACACACATACTCACAGCACACGGCAGTGGGCAGTGTGGTTATGTGGAAAAACTAACGCATATATTGTTTTTGCTTCTATTTTGCAGCTATAAATTTGAAACGCCCCAGGAAAATGCATTGCAGCAGAACAAGCAATTAAAATAGAGACCGAAACCAAAGCGGAGACTAAGGCTGAGGCTGCGATTGCAACAAGGAGTTGCCCTGCGAACGAGTCCTGCCCCGAGTGTCGACTGTTTGGTCTCGCCCTGTGCTAAAAACCTATTTTGAATAATTAAAATTCAGTAAGTGTTGCTGCTGCTGCTGCAACTTTTGCAACAATCTGCAGGCGTCCGTTATAAACACAGTAACAACAAGAACAACAATGATATAATTAATTCAATGCACCTGAATACGCAAGCTTACACACGAAACTCCTTCAAATCCAATTGAGTGCAACAGCCGCAAGTGCACAGCCACAAGAACAGCAGTTAGAACAACTGCAACAACAACCACCACAACAACAACCACAACAAAAACCACAGCAACAACAACAAGTAAGTTTACTCAAGCCAGCTGTAAAATGGCGGCACACCGGTCAATGGCAACAATTAGCCAATGCAAGGACAAGCGAAGACATATCCGCAGCAGGACACAACTAAACGAACTCCTGCGCCGCACACTGCCCATTGTCATCATCGTCGTGCTGCTGCTAACACAGCACTGGGAAAGCGGTAAGTGGAAGAGCGGTATTTTAAGTTATCCAGCCTTCAAAAACAATCACATATGCCCAGCGAACATCTGTCAGCTTACCCGAAATTCCAGTGCACAGCATAGAGCTGAGCGCATGTTGTGCCGTGACGGGACTCTGCGTTCTTGACTACCTCCGGCGCCTATAGTCCGATCTTTATGAGCCCATGGCATGAGCCAATGGGACTTTACGATTCGATTTTAGTACGCGGCTAGCCAAAAAGTGAAATATTGATATATATATATATATATATATAAGTGTATACCATACGAATAGCTACATATCAAGATTGGTGTCACCAGATCTAATTATATCCAAGCTATGTTTCAAAGCGCAAGTATAAAATCCGGTTAGTGGAATAAAAATTCGAAAGCGATGAAATCAATTACGCATATCAATACGTGAATATATGTTTCAAATTGCAAGTCTCTAGATGGATGCATTGAATCAGACAGAGTCGTCCTCTCTCTGCCAGTAAAACACAAGATCTGAAACACACTTTCGAATCTTTATAATATTAATAAATATTTCTAAGAATCCTAGATTAACATTTAATAATAGTTGTTAACATGCTAAGTTACTAACCAGGCTTTTAAATGTACGTTTATGCCCTTTTATTTTGGATTTTCCAAACATTTTTTAACCAAACCGATTTGAACCTGAAATTTCACTTAATTTCTTTTCCGTTTAAGTTAAAAAATACCAATGCAATCATATTTAATCAGAAATTTGTTTAAAGCAAGCTGCTAAGGAAATTTAAACTTATGTATAAGTTTATAATTTCTTAAAGCGGGTATATTTACAAAATGTTTAAGATGTTTTCTTCTCCAAGAACTGGTCGAGATGAAAAGTAAAGCATTATGATATTACTTTATAAATAAGCAAAGCAGATAGAGAGAGACAAAGAGATTTTCTTCTGCATTACAAAGCTTCAAATGAGCGAGATTAGCTTACGTATTTTGAAACCAGAAATACGGTTTTAGCTTTTATTTTTGACTTTAAAAGTCGCGTGCGTGTTTTTAATTTCCTCGTAAATAGCATCCACTCTTTTCCATCTCAGGTATCCCAGTTCTCAAGTCAACCGGCATAAAGTTGAGCTGGAGATGGGCAACCGCTAAGCCATTCAATTGGCAGTTCTACAAATTGTGCTGGGCACTGAATATCCTTGGCAATATCCTTGTTGAATTAATCTCACTCGGGCAGATAAATATTTCAAAAGCGAAACTTAAGCAATTAATTTCGCTAATTGCTTTTCTTCGCAACGTTTTTGTTTCGTGTTGCGGCGGCGATGGAGTGGTTGTAGGAGGGTTGGCGGGGGATCTGGCTGGTCGTTGAGTTTTGCATTCAAATGCATTTCAAGGACTCAACTTTGGCGCCGCACAAAACTCAATCTGACATTTATGCGAATGTCCACGGTATCAAATAAGAGTAATGACATTGCAGCTGCCCTTAAAACGAGCCAAAGGACGACGACTGAGAAGGAAACCCAGTGCAGCAAACGAAGATCGTCTTGGGAGCTGTTGCCCGGCTACACTCACAGTGCAATGTCCTTTTGGCTACTCAAACATTCCAGTGGCTATTAGTATTCATATCTTGACTGAACTTAACTGAAAGCTTAAACTGCTGCCAGCCTGGGCGTGCAGTAGGGTTGATGTGGAAGGCGGTGGGAATTGAATGGAAGGGTGCGAGGAGGGGTCGTTTTTAAGACCCTCTGCGCGCGTTTTGCATGCATTTTCATTTTGTGCTAGAATTGCTGAAAAAGATGCAATTAAATATTAGGACAAGGGGTGTCAAGCTGCGCATGGAATATTCGAGTCCTTTTCTGCTATCCTCTCTGTCTCTATCTTTCTCTCTTCCTCTCGGTATCTCTCTCTTTCACTTGCCCCCCACGCTCTTTTTCTCTATCCCTTGCGGTTGCAGCTGCTGTCAGTGGCAAAGAACGCATTATTAATTTATTTTTCCCCAACTTGCAAGATGAATAAGCAAAGAGCAAAAATTTTCCACGACTGACTACGCTTTTACTCTCCAGCAAAATTTTCTATTTAAATGTCGCTATGCACACCCCCACCCCCCTCCAAATGCCCGTGGTTCCTTCGATTTCGCTGCTGCCAAGTCATTTTGCATGCAGTTCTGCTTTGACCAAGTTAACTGAAGTCGACGTGCTTCGACATGGCCCGAAAACGGTTCCTCAATCTGCTGTCCATCAGTTGGCTTCGATCGTGTGATGGCTGTGCGCGCTGTCTGTCTCAGTCGTGCCAGCAGCACCGCAAGGAAATAAAATCCAAAAGTGAATAATGAACCGCAAATAACTTTACTTTGTGTTGCCAAGTTTGCACAGCCAACCATCCAGCGCCACCCAGCTGCACTCATCAGCAATTCCACCACCCACCCATCAGCTAGCGGCCATCCGCTATTCGAATTGCATCCGTTTCTAACCAAATCCAACTTGCCGCCTCTCGTGCAGTTGTTTCAATTGCTGCGGGACGTTTGTCTGTGCTATCAGCCAGCAGCAGCAGCGACAGCAACAGCAGCAGCAGTAACAGCAGCAACAACAACAACAACAACAGCTACAGTTGCAACAGAAGTTGTTTCAGTGTCGGTAACAATTATTTCGGTTTGTAGCTAGTTGAGTTGAGTTGAATTTGGTTTGGTTTTTAGTTGGGTTTAATTTTTTTTATTATGTGAATACCCTTGCATCGGCTACTTACATTTTATGCACCCCTCTGTTGCGCAATGCTGCATAATTATATATAATGATAATCTTTATCAATGATTTATATGTTAGTCTCCCACTAAAACCTAATTCGATGAACTATGCCTAACTATATGCATTTAAAGATATATTAAACTAACTCAGCAATATTTATATGTAAATATCATATATTTCAAACATATATTTAAAATTTTTAGCAAGATCGCACGCTACATCGTATATATGCTATATAGTTATTGTGCTTTTATTCCTCTTAGCTCGAAAAATTCAATAATGTCAAGCATTAATCATTTACTAAGACATCAAATTTAGTTTTTCAGCCAAGCTTAGCACTTAGTACTTTTATAGCCCCAAATTCTCAATTAAAATAATAGGGACAATCGGCGTGTAGTAAAACAACACTCCCAAGTATAAATATACATATGTTGCCCATATGCTAGGGTATTTAATTTTCAGCACTCTCAAAGATAACTATTCCAAATTTTTGCTGTGTCTTTGAATATTTGCATTTCCGGCTGCAACTCCCAGTAGTCTTAGACGTCACCCCAACACCAGGCCCCATCCAGCACTTGAAGCACATCATTCGGTCTGCTGATGAAGTGCAAATCGTTTTATGAATACCAGCTGAAAGAGCGCTGCGAACCGAGTGTATTTCATTTTAATATTTGTGTCACAAATCGCACGCGTTGGTTTATCTTTGAATTCCCTGAGCTTCTGGGGCTGTCTAAACCCCAACTAATCAAGTTGACACAGGTTTACCTGCGAGCTACCTGGCAAAACTTTGACAAAACTTTCGATTTTCGAAAACTTTAGCTAGCTGTCCCAGATAAGAGTTCAATGGAACTGAAATTTATTAACTGCTTTGCCAGCACATGCAAATAAATCAGCAAGAAAAAAGAACACAACAGAAATAAAAAACCAAATACATTTAAAATAAAAATGATAAACCGAAAACTTTTGAGGAAGGCGTGTTTGAGCAAGGACTGAGATAAGCCAAGTCAACCGTTAAAGTTACGCCCTCAAAAAAACCTCAAGGATATTGACATGTGACTAAAATGCCAACAAATGTAAATGCAAAAAGCCTTCCAAAGCATGGGGGAATTCAAGAGTTGGCATACACTTTTATATACAGGGTATTTGCAGTGTATATATCGCTAATGGGGTGTGAGCTGTTATACCCCTTAAGTCTTATCGTTTTCCAAAAATTATTGAGTGTGAATCCACCAAGTATTTAATATGCTCAAGAGTGTTTACGGGGTATTTAACGTATTTGGTATAATGCAATATGCATCAATAAGCTTACATTTAAAATAATTTACAGTTTATTTTGATTGGGCGAAGCTTTTTAATCACTTTGCTTATTTTAAAACTGATTAAAGGGTTACTCTGGTAATAAATTTAAGGACACTGTAAGTAAATTTAGGATTCATGGGTATATCTGTATGATTTTTTTACTTAAAAAATAAACAGCTATGTAGTTTAGACACTGCAAGTTTACGAAACTTGTTACTTCTAGACGATATTTAACAAGGACTTTAAGAATATCTGTAAGACTGCTTCAGAGATATCAGTGTATTTACATAAAAAGAACTTGCACTAAAGAGCCAGTTTCTTAAAGTACTTTGAGTATGTGCTGTCTTATATGTCTTTTAGTTGTTTTGGCAGTCTTAACAGTTTAATCTACCTTCTAATTCGTATATAGCATGCATTTGGCCGTATTTCCCAATGATAATCGTTATTGTCAAAATGCTTAGGGTATTATTGAGTCCATCATGCATGTGTATTCATGTATAACAAGCGAAAGGCATTCAATTTAGTACTTCTTAAGCTATACCACGCGTTTATACGACTTTCTAAATCCTTACTTCAGCTAATCTAAGCCTTGTCGAAGGTCTGCCTACAGGGTATTATTAAGTCGCTCACTGTGTGCAGCATTGCAGGCACTTGTTGTAGGTGCGGCTGTGTCAAGTATTTGCACTTGCGCTAAGCAAAATTTACGCGCATTTGTTTGTACGACTCCAGAGAATTGCTCGGCGGCGTTTCGTGTTCAAGTGAAAATCGATGAGCTGTATGCGCGTGTGTGTATGCGAGTGTATGTGTGCGTGTGTGTATGCGTGGGCAAATGTGTGAAGTGTGCGTTACGCTATTGGCATTGTTGTTTGGCCACAATGTTTTCTTTTTTCCGCTTCGCATGGCTTTTTATTGCTTTTCTCTTGCTTTTTATACCCTGAACTCATTGAAGATCGTTAAGAAGGGTATCATGTTTTTGT